CACACACACACACACACACACACACACACACACACACACACACACACTCACTCACATTACAGAGTTCTTGTTTGGGATAATGAAGATGGATGTCACCCATCCAAATACAGATATTAGCCAGACATAGTGGCCCAGACCTGTAATCCCATTGCTGGAAAGCCTGAGGCAGAAGGATCACAAATTAGAGGCCAGACGAGACTACATGGTCAGTTCCAAAACAGCTTGGATTATACAGCAGGACTCTGTCTCCAACAGTAGGGACATTGAGTAGGAAGGGGGGGTGCTAACCAGGAGTTGTGGGAAAACATTGAGCTCGGGGTAAAAAGGAGATTAGCCACCACCCTATTGAGCACCTAATTGTCCAGCATAACATTGTCCAGTGAAGTGGCTAGTGACACTGGACTCCAGAGCTGCTTCTGCGCAGTGAGACCTGGTGACACTACACGTGATCCTGCCCTATCCCTGCCTTTGCTTTCCCCATGTGTAGAATAAGGTGGGTGGGTTGAGATCGCCGTAGCCAAAACATGTGTGTGACTTTAGGATTCTAATTTTTTCGGATGTTTCCTGCTTTCAGTGAGCTACTCAATGCTGCAGGCATGGGCGGCCTGACATGTGACTTGCACAGACAACAAGGCAGGGGCTGTTTCCCTACGTCCACTCGGGAGTGGGAACCACTCGTGTGCTCTCGAATAGTCCAGAAACAGTGCAAGTGTGACGCTTTGGGTGAGAGGCCACGAGATCCACATACATGCGTGATTGCATAGTCTTCTGAGGCTTCCATGGCATTGGCCTTGCCTTGCTATTCCAATCATGTGTGGTTCTAGTCACATAAGATTTACCCTAGCTCCAGCATTTAGTGTTTTGATCTCTGAAATAAACAGATTGGAACACAAGACTCCCAGAGAATGTCTAGTTCAAGTGCTTTTTTTTTTTTTTCACTTTATTTACTATCATTGTGGAGTATGTATGATGTACATGAGTGAGTGCGGGCATGTTTGTGCCACAGTCCACATCTGGGGGTCAGAGGAAATTTTCCCGGTGTCTCGTCAGTTTTCTCCTTCCACTATGGGACCAAGGGATCAAATTCAGGTCACAGGCTTGTTTGGCAAGTGCCTTTACCCACTGGCTATCACACTGGACTTGGCTCAAGTGTTTGAATTTACAGTTGCTTGCAGGATGTCAACGGCTGTATTCTTGGGGAGTTGGCTTGGTTTGTTTGGTGGGGGGGTGGGGGGATGGTTTTTCGTTTGAGCAGGGTAGCCTGACCTTTGTGATCTTCCTGCCTCAGCCTCCTGAATGTTGAGAGGCATGTACCACCACACGCCTTAGGACTGTTTTTAATGGTTTGGGATAGTCTGGGCTTCAGTACTTTCCAAAAAGCACATAGGTTCTGGGCTCTGGCAAAGTTCACAAAGATGCCAACCAGTCCAAGCTTGGAAAGGGCCAACACAATTGGCCAGTGTCCAGTGTGCTAAGACTGAAAAGTGAATATCAGTCGAAAGCAAGAGCTAATACATTTGACCCAGAGTGCAAGGACTGAACTGGGTCCTCTAAAAGGCTTGGCCGAACTGGAAGTTTAGATACTTCAGCTGTCAAAAGAATTATATCCAACTTGCTGAGAAGCTGAACGTGGAAAATATTAATAGCAGCCGTAATCACAGCAACCATTTGCTGAGTGCTTACAATACATCAGAGACTAGGCTACGCATGTGACAAGAATCTCAATTTAATCTAGGTAATTTTCCCTAAGTACTTCAGCTGGGAAGTGACAGAGTTGGATCGGGGAATAAGACCCAGGTTTATCAGACTCTGAGTTTTTTCCACCTGGTACACTCTCAGAAACCCCTGGTAGACTTGGAGAAAAGCTTTGGCTCATTGTGGCTGCTCAGGGGAACTACTCAGTAGATCACAGTGGTTTTGATTTAATTGCCTTTGGGATAAACTGCTGATTGCCTCTGCTCATTATCCCACTTGAGCCTGTTCTAATATCTCAGGTAGCATATCACTTACTTTTGCCTCACAGTGCCCGGTCGAAGCAACTAAGGGAGGGAAGAATTACCTAGACCGTGGTTTCAGTCCATCACAGAGGCGAAGGCATGGGAGAGTGGCTCAGTCCATGGCATCAAGAGTGTGCAGTGAAGGCTGTTCACACAGCAACAACCAGGAGGCAGGTAGAGTACTAGAACCAGGGGCCCAGCTATAACCTTCACAGGCCTGCTCCTACCCACCTGCTTCTGCCAGCTGGGCCTCACCCCCTAAAGGAACTAAAACCTCCCCAAACCGTGCCATCAAGCTAGAGGAGCAAACGTTCAATACAGCAGCCCGTGGGAAACACTTCAGATTCAAACCATCACAGCTGGCATACCCATCTCTCCCTTCCCAGGAAGTCTTGCTAATATATCTAGTTTGTAAACTCACGGGATCTGCATTCTCTAGATGTTTCACTTGGTACCCTAAGTTCTCCGGGAGACTATGAGAGATGGAAATAGCACAGTGGACTGAAAGTTACGACCAGCAGATGGCTACCAAGAAAGTACGATGCCCACACTGTCGATGATGCTCCTGGCATCTCTCAAAACTCAAAAGTTTGAGTTTTGGCCATCCTTATTCAGTGACTATTGACTTGGGTTTGGAAGTCAGCTAAACCCGTGTTCTAATCATGATTCTAGCTTGGCCCAAGTTCTACTTTATTACTTCTTTAAGCCTCAGACCCATGGTCTGTACAAGGCAAGGAGTAAGTCCCTTAGAGGTATTTGCTTGTTTGCTATCCTAAGAGATCATGCATTGTCCTAGTTAGGGTTATCACTGCTGGGATGAAACACCATGACCAAAGCAACTTGTGGAGGAAAGAGATTGTTTGGCTTATGCATCCAACTCACTGTTCATCACTGAAGGAAGTCAGGACAGGAACTCAAACAGCGCAGGAACCTGGAGGCAGGAGCTGAGGCAGAGGCCATGGAGGAGTGCTGCTTACTGGCTTGTTCCTCAGGGCTTGCTCAACCTGCTTTCTTAGAGAACCCAGGACCACTAGCCCAGGGATGGTACCACCCATAATGGGCTGGGTCCTCCCCCATCATTTACTAATTAAGAAAATGCCTGTAGGCTTGCTTACGGTCTGATCTTATGGAGGAGGCATTTCCTCAACTGAGGTTCCTTCCTGTCAAATGATTGAACTTGCGTCAAGTTGACATGAAACTATCCAGGACATGTGTCCACAGGGGTCAACTCCTGGACTGTTCCAGTGGGTGGTGCTGTTTGTAGCATGCTCTCATTGGCTGCAAGCCTGGTTCCTTCTCACGTGTATCATGCCCTTGGACACCGTCAAAAGTTCGCCTGCCTCTGGACTTTTAGCATTGTTCCCCTTCCTCGTTCATGATCAGAAGTAGGTCAAATGGCTTTGAACTCAAGCATAACAAACTCGGCACCGCTAGCTACGAACCACCTAAGCAGAGAACACCAAACTAGGCACGAGGAAATGGTCTCCTCTGTAACAGAGTCTGACAGCATAGTTGAGACTAATACCCACCCTAGGATTTTTGGCTGCAATAACACAAGACTGCATAGCTAAGCACATCAGTGACACAGAGGACACTCACAGATGTCACCTTCAACTCTGAGCCAAAGGTTCATCTCACCTCCAGAAAGAACCTACTCAGAAGCCCTGGGGTCCCGAAGAAAGCATCGTGCAATTGCAGACACAAATAACCTGCCAGAATCAGAGGAATCTCGCTGGCACTTGGGGGTGGGTGCCTTTGCCCAGGGGGTGACAATGATTTGTGTGTGGGCTGCTGTTTCCACGTCTAGAGGGCAGAGCTCATGTTTGGGCTTGTAGGGTGTTTTCCACTCAATAAACAACAAAAAAAAAGGAGCCACAACAGGACCCAGGCAAAGTAGCGCAGGGAGAGGGCACCGACCGAGAGGTCAGGTTCCTGGGTCTGATTCCATGGTGCCTGCTACCTAGCTCCCAGCCTGACCTTCAGCAAGACCTCTGCCCTCTTGTGTATACAATAAGGGCAGTGCAGCCAGCAGAGGTGTTTGAACTGGGCCATGCAGGAGCCATGATTTCCCTCCAGATCTCAGAGATAGAGAATGTTGATTCTTCCCTGGACGGCCAAATGATTGCTAGTAGTGTTGAAGCGTAGACAAGAGGCTGAGGGCGGAGTGATTGTGCCTGGCACAAGAAAGGAAGGAGGAGGAAGAGCTAGGAAGGAAGGAAGGAAGGAAGGAAGGAAGGAAGGAAGGAAGGAAGGAAGGAAGGAAGGAAGGAAGGAAGGGAAAAAGGAGGTCTCCACTGTTCATCTGGTAACGTTGACCTACCTGTGTTACCTCTCCAGGACTCCTTCATAAAGAGTGTGCAAAATGAAGGTGATGTAAAATGGAGGTGAGAGTTAGGTATTTTTTCCTAGGAAATCTATGGGAGACCCTGGGGATCTGGAAAGAGGAGAGCTGGCGGCTGTGGCTGAAGGTGAGGGGACAGCACAAGAGAGCCCACAGTCTCAGGCCATCTCTCACCTGTCTTCCTGACTCACTGATGCCCCTGACCTCCAGAATTTCCAGAACCCCAGGACCACCTGAAGTCCAGACAAAGCCCAAAGGAGAGACTGGCCTGTGAGTGTGTTCTTGATGATTTCTCCTGGACTGCCCCCCACCCCAACAAATGAGCAAGAGACCAGGACATTCCAGAGTAGCTGTCATATTTATTCTCCAATACTGTCTACCTAGCCCTTTGCCCAAAGTCAACATGGCATGTGATTAAGCTTTCTTCTGTTTAATTAACAGATTTCATTTTTCATAGAGAAAGCAGAGCATAAGGCATAGAAAGTTGTAGTCTCCACATTTACAGCGGCATGGTGCATTTTCTACAGTTGCTGAGACCATAAAGTCCATAGCTCACATTAAGGTTTGCTTTAAAAAAAAAAAAATACCCTTTAAGCCAGTCAGTGGTTAGGGCACACCTTTAATCCCAGCACTCAGGGAGGCAGAGGATCTCTGTGAGTGCAAGGCCAGCCTGGTCTACAGAGCTAGTTCCAGGACAGCCAGAACTGTTACACAGAGAAACTCTGTCTTGGGGTAGGGGGAGCTTTAAAAATTACACACACACACACACACACACACACACACACACACACACACACACACATTTGTTGACTTTTACATTGAGGTACAGAAATTTATCTCAACTAATTTAAGTCCAACAATAAAGATAGGGAACACTGTGGCCCCCAGACTTCTCCTTCTCTGACATGGTAGGATTTGGTTACTGTTTGATCTATAGTTTTCATTTTTCTAGGCTTTTCATTCTTTACCAATTTGTGCAGATTTTCAACATTATGTATTTTTTCAGTACTAGGGATTGAACCTGGGGCCCCATGCATGTTCGACAAATTCTCTACCATTGAGTTATATCCCCGGGTCTCTTTTTGCTTTGTATTTTGAGATAGTAGATCTCTAAGTTGTCTAGGCTGGCTTGGAACTCACAACTCAAGCAGGCCTCAAGCTCATGATCCTCTGATCTTAATGAGCCAAGTGGCTTCAACTATAGACCTGAACAGCCCTGCCTAACAAACATTAGAATTTCTAGATCTATAGGAGGAAAAAAAAAAAAACCTTACACCAACAAACATCACCAAGTCCACTTGACACTGTCCAGGAACAAAGTCCAAAATGTTAGGTGCTATGCTCATTCCAGAGACATACAGGTCATACTGTTGAAATTTTCTTCATGTATGTGATACATGTGGGTGCATCCATGTACAGGTGCATTCACCTGTGGGTGTGTACATGGAGGCTAGGGGTCAACATTGGGGTCAGGGTTTGGGTGTCTTTCTCTATCACTCTCCATCTTAAATTTTTTTATTTATTTTTTATTTTATAATTTAATTTAATTTTACATATCAGCCATGGATTCCCTTGTCCTCCCCCTCCCTCCTTCCCCCCAGCCCACCCCTCATTCCCATCTCCTCCAGGGCAAAGACTCCCCTGAGGATTGAGTTCAGCCTGGTAGATTCAGTCCAGGCAGGTCCAGTCCCCTCCTCCCAGGCTGAGCCAAGCATCCCTGTATAAGCCCCAGGTTCCAAACAGCCAGCTCATGCACTGAGGACAGGACCCGGTCCCACTGCCTGGGGGCCTCCCAAACAGTTCAAGCCAATCAACTGTCTCACTTATCCATCCATCTTAAATTTTTATTTTTATATTTATTTATTTATTTATTTATTTATTTATTTATTTATTTATTTATTTATTTATTTTGGTTTTTCGAGACAGGGTTTCTCTGTGTAGCTTTGCGCCTTTCCTGGAGCTCACTTGGTAGCCCAGGCTGGCCTCGAACTCACAGAGATCCGCCTGGCTCTGCCTCCCGAGTGCTGGGATTAAAGGCGTGCACCACCACCGCCCGCCTTAATTTTTATTTTATTATGGGGCTGGGGTGATGGCTCGGGTGTTACGAGCTCTTGCTGCTCTTGCAGAGGACCAGGGTTCAGTTCCCAGCACCCACATGGTGGCTCATAACTGTCTGTAACTCCAGTTCCAGGGTAGCCAACACCCTCTTCTGACCTCTGCAGACTCCAGGCTCACATGTGGTGCTCAGACGTTCAAGCAGGCAAATACTCATACACATAAAGTAAAATAAAGTTTTAAATTACTATCGTATGTGTATAAGTGTGCATGATGTGTTGTGGGTGGTGGTATTGCTTTCCCCAAAATATTGTGCACCCTAATAAACTTACCTGGTTCAGAGAACATGACAGCCACAATATTAAACAGAGGATAGGCAGTGGTAGCACACACCTTTAATCCCAGCATTCCAGAGGCAGAAATCCCTCTGGATCTCTGTGAGTTCAAGGTCACATTGGAAACAGCCAGGCATGGTGACACACACCTTTAATCCCAAGAAGTGAGCCTTTAATCCCAGGTAGTGATAGCAAAAACAGAAAGATATGTAAGGCGTGGAGACCAGAAACTAGAAGCATTTGGCTGTTAAGCTATTAGGTTTGAGCAGCACAGTTCAGCTGAGAGCCATTTGGATATGAGGACTCAGAGGCCTCCAGTCTGAGGAAACAAGATCAGCTGAGAAGTTGGCCAGGCGAGGTTAGCTGTGGCTTGTTCTGTCTCTCTGATCTTCCAGTGTTCACCCCAATACCTGGCTCCGGGTTTGTTTTATTAATAAGACTCTTTAAGATTCCTGCTACAGTTGTGTGTGCATTCGGGTGTGCCACAGCACATGTGTGGGGGCCAGAAGACAACTTTGCCAAGTCTCCATCCACTGTATACAGATCCTGGGGATCCAGCTCAGGTCACCAGGATGTGCAGCATACACCTTTCCTTACTGACCCAGCTCGCTGGCCCTCCACCTTCTTTTTTGAGACAAGGGTCTCTCATGGAACCCGGAGTTCACTGTTTTGGCTAGACTGGCTGGCAAGCAAGGACCAAAGGTTCTCCTGTCTCCAGTCCCCCAGCAATGGGGTTACCTATGTGTATCTCCGTGCCCAGCTTTTATGGGCTGTGGATTCGAACTTAGATCTCCAGGCTTGCACAACAGGTACTTTACCCACTGAGCCGTCTCCCCAGACCCTGTTGAAGAAATTTGCAATCGACTCTGTGTGTAAAACAAAAGCCCAAACAGTGTCTCATCCCTGTGATTTCAGACCAAGCAGATTTTATGTTGAGAAACACACACACACACACACACACACACACACACACACACACACACACATACACACACAAAATGTTTCATGTATAAATACGGAAAGAACAATTTATCTACATTGATGTAGAACGGGGATAAGAAATACAAAATTAAGTTAACTTTGCCATTCTCACAGCTTCTTAAATGCATACTATTTGCAAGTATAGCTTTAAAAAACAATTCTTTATTTATATTTATTTTATATTCTATTATTTTATTCTTTAATTTATTTGAGACTTTCATGCTTATAGC